CCTTCTACCGCCGCTTCCCTCACTGAGGTCTCCCAGTTGCCCCCCCCCTTTTCCTTGCTCCCTCTCCCCCGGTAGCCCCTGCCCCTCTCCCGCCTCGTCCTGCCCCGTCTGGTGTCTCCCACGTCACTCCCCTCCCGTCGGTTGTCCCCGTTGAGGAGTCTGCTGACTCTGGTGGTAGCCCCGGTCCGTCCTTGCCGCGTCCCCCTTCCCCGGTGCCTCCGCCCCCACTGTCGCAGTCGCCGACCCCGCTGCCGCCGCCGTCGCCGTCGCCGCCGCAGCCGTCGCCGCTGTCGTCGCCGCCGCCGCCGCTGTCGCTGCCGCAGCCGTCGCCGCTGTCGCCGCCGCCGCAGCCGTTGCCGCCACTGCCGCCGCTGCTCTCGGCCCCTGGGGGTGCTGGTGTGGAGGAGGGTGTTCATCCTGCGGCTTCTGGGGGTGCCGCTGGTGTTGGAGGGGGTTCTCGCTCTGGGGGTGTTGGTTCTGGGGGTGCTGCTGTTGAGTGTTCTGCCGACGGTCGTTCTGCCTCTGCTGGTCCGAGAGTTCCGGCCCAGCCGTCGTCGCCGCCGCAGCAGCCGTCGCCGCCGGTTTCCGCTCTCCGCCTGCTCGGCCTTCCCTCCCCGGACCGCGCGCCGGTGTCTCCCCCACCGCCTCCTGACCTCCCTGTCTACGGTCCTGTGTTCCCGCCGCCAGACTCGTCTCCGGCCCGTCTTCCTCCTCGTTCCCCTCCTGTGTCTCCTCCGCTGTCCCCTGACCCTACCCCTCCGTCTCACGTTTGGGCTCGCCGTCCCTCCCGTGCTCGTCCTGTCTCTCCTGTCCTGCCCACCCACCCTATGTTGCTCCGTTCCCACTCGTCTCGTCCTCCCCTCCTCCCGTCCCCTCCTCCCTCGTCCCTTGCTGTTGCACCTCCTCCGTTCTCTGACTACCTCCGTGCTGCTCGTCCCCTTGTCCCTCGGGTCCTTGCCTCTCTTGTTACCGACCCTGCTGTTCCTGTCTCGCGCCTTGACGCGCTTGTCGCTGCTGTCGCTGACTTCGCTTCTACCCGCCGCCTTGACTACGCTACCGCTCTGGTCTCTGACCCTGCCCGTCCTCTGTCCGTCGGGGGTGCTCCTGCCCTTGGCAGTGACGTCCTAGAGGACAGGCAGTACGAGCTGGCTTTCCTTTCCGAGGCTGCTCCCCATCTCTGCTCCATGCTGTTAGTCCCTGAGGGTGACCCAGACGCCTTCGACATCCCGACCCCTCGCACCTACGCTGAGGCCACCTCGGGACCTTGGGTCTCTCAGTGGATAGCTGCCATGGAGCAGGAGATGGCATCTTGGAGATCCACCGGCACTTACGTCGACGCAGTTCCCCCGCCTGGGGTGAACGTAGTCGATGGTCGGTGGCTCTTCAAGGTGAAGCGCCCCCCTGGAGAGCCGCCTGTCTTCAAGGCGCGCTACGTGGCCAGAGGTTTCAGTCAGCGCGAGGGGGTTGACTTCTTCCAGACCTTCGCCCCGACCCCGAAGATGACCACTCTTCGGGCGCTGCTACACGTAGCAGCACAGCGTGACTACGAGCTTCACTCCCTCGACTTCTCTACTGCCTTTCTTCAGGGCAGCCTACACGAGCAGGTCTACCTGCGCCGACCACAGGGCTTCACTGGTACCTTCCCTCCTGGGACCCAGTGGCTTCTCAGGCGCCCGGTCTACGGCCTGCGTCAGGCTCCCCGCGAGTGGCACGACACGCTACGTGCCACGTTAGCAGCCCTGCAGTTCTTTCCGTCCTCTGCTGACCCTTCACTGTTTGTGCGTTCCGGCCAGACTCCGTTCTACATCCTTGTCTACGTAGACGACCTGGTCTTCGCTACTCCTGACAGGGACGCACTGGCCTCTGTGAAGGCTGAGCTGCTGAAGAGACACACCTGCACTGACCTTGGAGAGCTGCGTCGCTATCTTGGCCTGCAGATCTCTAGGGACAGAGCAGCACGCACCATCACTCTGACCCAGTCACACTTGGTGCGTCAGGTCCTTCAGAGGTTCGGTCTTCAATTCTCCTCCGCACAGCCCACACCTCTACCCGTAGACCATGGGCTCTCTGCTCCCGTTCCTGAGGAGCCAGTAGAGCCCAGTGGCCCCTACGCAGAGCTGGTGGGTTGCCTCATGTACCTGATGACTTGCACTCGCCCAGATCTCGCATACCCTCTCAGCATCCTGGCTCGCTTTGTGGCTACAGGCAGACACCGACCTCAGCACTGGTCTGCCGCTAAGAGGGTTTTGCGTTATCTTGCTAGTACATCAGGCATGGGGTTAGTGCTAGGAGGACGCAGGCCAGTGGTCCTTACTGGGCACACAGACGCTTCTTGGGCAGACGACGCTGAGACGCTCAGGTCGTCGCAGGGCTACTGTTTCAGCCTTGGTTCGGGTGCTATCTCTTGGAGATCCACTCGCTCGTCGTCTGTGGCTCAGTCTAGCTGTGAGGCTGAGATCTACGCTGGTGCCATGGCGGCACAGGAGCTCCGCTGGCTGACCTTCTTGCTCACAGACTTAGGTGAGCGGCCTAGCTCTGCCCCGGTCCTGTACGCTGACAACAGGGCCATGATACTCCTGTGTCAGGAGCCTCGGCTTGAGGGCAGAGCGAAGCATATCCAGCTGCGGTACTTCCTCCTGCGCGAGCTACAGCAGCGCCGCCAGGCCCGCGTAGTTCACTTGGCCTCAGGTGCCAACACAGCTGATATCTTTACTAAGGCGCTTGCGCCTAAAGATCATCAGCGGCACTGTGTACAGCTTGGTCTTGTTCCTATAGCTGCTCCCCTGTTAGGATCCTGATTGTGTACTCTCTATTATATATGCTTGTCAGACTGGCCTTGTGGCCTTACCTCCAGTGGCTGGACTAGTAGTGCCACCCTGGCTTGCTTCAGTTTTGGTTGTATTCTTGCTGACTGGTCTCCAGACCCCTGCCTCAGTGGTTGGACTAGTAGTGCCGCCCTGAGCTGTTTGCTTCTTGTTTAGTTTCACCCCTTGTCTAGCCTAGGGGGTGTGTCAACTTATACATATTATCTATGTAGAAGTTATAGGCTAGACTGAGGTATGCTTCTAGTGAGTACAACCAACTAGTATTTGTTCTAGGTTTCCACCTCTAGTAATCATTCGTTTCTACGTTAACAGACGACTCCCCGTAGAGGTTACGAAAGGGCAACGGTTGCAGGCCGTTGACCGTGCAACCCAACAGTCAGAATCGGAAGAGTCAAGAGTCAGTGCGACAGTAAGGAGAAATAACCGTCCCGATATTACAGTACGGGTGGTTACCTGAGTCACCTTATCGAGTCGTAAACGGGAATGTACTGCTCGAAGTGCAAAACAATTACTCTTCATATTTTCTTGTACTATTATATAAACCTTGTATCCCTTTGCTATAATCAATCACTTGTTCTCACATACCATTACAAGGGTTCAACTCAAGACTTTCGTTGTTACAAGGACTTAGCCTTCTGAAAAGATCCTTGGGATATTACCAGCCCAACAAATGGGTCTCGAGGTTCCACAAGGCCTCCCGATGTCAACCTGATCGGAACCCCGTTCTCACTTCACGCATATTGACGCAGGTAGTTCCCTCTCTATGCATGTTTCGTCAGAGTCTTGACCATTCGCGTAACATAGCCTGGGACCAGATTGGACCTAAACACGCCCCGGCGACAATCGAATTCTTCTCTCGCCATTTTGGCGGGAAATTCGGTCTGTCGCGCATGGCTTCGTGGCCTCGTCGCACGCGTTTGAATCTGCCCAACCCCCAGTAGGTGCGAAATGTTGTGGTTAAAATCTGCCCGTCTGCCCCAAGCTTCTTATGGCAGTTTCGCACAAGCACCCCAATTTGTTAAAAGTGCCCTTACTTTCAAGAGCGGAGCTCTTGACGCCCCCCCTGTGCTATTTTAGCTTGTGGTTTTAAGCATTTTTGTAAGTAGTTCCGATAGATATTATCGAGTTATCTTGTAGTTAGCATCCGTAAAATGTGACAACAAACAAATATTGCTTCATATACAAAACTAGTTGTATAAGATGTGTTAATATATAGCCTAAATAGGGCAGCACTTAGAGGAGATAACACTCACGACTTGTATCTCCCCTCCTCTCTTCCTAGTCACACTTTTTCTCGCGCTATTCTAACATAATATAGAGTTAGGTTAGATTTTCTCCCTAGCACCGCGCTTTCGCCGTAGTGTACGATTTTTCCTTTTCTTTTCCGGACCTCGCGTTCTCCAATTTCGCGCTTCGTAGCCCCCCCCCCCTTACCCTATGGGCGTATTCATACTTTTTCAGATATCATGATTAGCCCCCTGATATCGGTGCTTGAGCCCTACCGTTTTGCAGCACTGCATATTAGGCCAGTTCGGGCTGGTCGCCGAAGGCTCTCACGTTGGCAGGCCTCGCGACACAATGCGACCCTTGCTGCAGTGTGCAGCCAACCTTGTGCAACATCCAAACGCAGCAGCCAAATTTTGAACTCCGCGCACGTGCCCAGCATTGGTCAGGTTGGTTGGCAACGAGGACGGCACAGGCGAAAACACTATGTTTACAAATTTTGCGTCGCCGGTACTGTCGCCGAACATGGCTGCGGAATCCACGCGGCGTTCGGATAGAGCTAGACGACTGATTTTATTTCGTGCCAATCAATCGTGAGCTGCTCACACTGATGAGGCACTCTGCAATTCCTGATATCAGTGTTTTTGTGCGGATACAGGTATCAGACCCGATTTTGTTAAGGCCGTTCCTGATATCTATTCAGTAGGAATACACCCTACCGCCATGACTCCCGAAGAAAGGGCGGCAGCACTCGAAGAAGTCCGTCTTACTCACGAGTTGTACCAGCAGGAGTTGGTGCATCTGCGAGCTGAAACGACCCAAGATGAATGTGAGATATGTGCACGCCAAAAACAAATCAAGGACAACAGGAACAAATATCCCAACATCATTCTAAAATACCGGGTGACAATCAGCGATCACATGCGGCTTCGCCCAAAGGATCGACAAGCAATCCGCCATGAGTAATTGGACGAACGGAAGTCGGCGAAGGGGCGAAAATCAACATCAGTGGTAACGGGCCTACTACTGATGGAACCTGCTCGCCCGTGACCGATGGCCCTCATCGAGTAATGGTACCGATCCATGCAATCGACCAAACTCGACTGAATAAGGAGGGTGCAGCGGCGGATTTAGAGGGTAGGGTTCAAGGGGAATTTTTTAAAATCTTCGTGGACAAGGGAGCTAGCCAGAGTCTGATCAACCTCGCCACGACCGAAAAAATGAAGTTACCCTTAGATAGGTGTCTACCGGAAATTGACGCCCGACTAGTTGACGGCACCCCACTAGCAATAAAAGACAAGGCGGACAAGATTAGGGTACGATGTGGTGCTGAATTCGTTTTTTCAATGGGGATGCTAGCAACTACACTCGTCGGCTTTGACGTGTTGCTAGGACAAGATAGGCTGCAACACTTCAACCCGAAAATTGACCAAACGACAAAATCAACGGCCGTGGTGTGACGTTACCAGAATGGACAAAGGGGATTATAGGGGGAGTAACGCAAGTGAACTCTGTGGCAACCAAACGCGCGGTCGCACGGGGCGAGGAAGTCTTCGCTGTAGTCGTTCGCGCCATCGAAATGGCATCGCAACCATTCGATTTAGAGAAGCAGACAGCAACAGTGTTGGCCAACCTAGCGCAGCTGATTCGCAGATTTCCGCAGATATTTCCAGACGACCGGCCCGAGGGTTTACCACCGGAATGGCCCTTCGACCATCAAATAGAATTAGAACCGGGGCCACAACGTACAAATCAGTAACAAAATCGACTAACAGAGCCGGAGTTAGAAGAATTACAGAAGCAACTAGATTATTTACTGGAGAAAAAATCATCCCCCCAAGCTCCTCACCATGTGCCGCCCCCATAATGTTCACCCCCAAGAAGGATGGCGGGTAACGAATGTGCACTGACTACAGAGCACTCAATAGGGTGACTATCAAGTAGCGTTACCCAATCTCGCGCGCCGACGAACTGATCGATCAACTTCGCAAAGCTCGCATCTTCTCAAAAATAGATTTACCAAGGGGTTACCACCAACTTCGCGTCGTCATAGCTGACTGTCACAAGACCGCATTTCTACTATGTACGGGTGTTTCGAGTACGTATAGTTATGCCCTTTGGACTTACGGAAGCCCCGGTGACTTTCCAATGATCATGAACCAGATTTTCAGTTCGCTCATAGATAAGTGTGTTATAGTTTACCTATACGGCATCCTGATCAACAGCGAGACCCGGGAGCAGCACTTAAAGGATCTCGAAGCATTTTTCACGCTACTGCAAGAGCATTGACTGCTCACAAAGGGGTCTAAGTGCGAGTTCCTAAAGGATAGACTAGAATATTTAGGTCACGTAATTTCCACTATAAGCGTAGAAGTCGACGCCGCGGAAGATCAAGACAGTGCAAGCCTGGCTACCGCCTATGAACCTGTAGGAGCTGCAAGTTTTTTTAGGGTTCGTAAATCACGTTAGGAGATTTATCCCGAATATGGTGGGGGTTACTACACCATTGACCGACCTTCTGCAGAAAGGGACTGAGTATAGGTGGGGGGAGAAAGAGCAAGCTGCCTTCTCCGCACTCAAAACTTTTATGTGCTCAGCCCCTGTCCTTCGCATCGCCGATCGTCACCGTCCATTTGAAGTCATCACTGAGGCCAGCGACATCACTATTGGAGTAGTACTGTTATAGGACTTCGGCGAGGGTCTCCAACCAATCGCGTTCGAGTCACGGAAGTTACACCCGCTTGAGTGAAAGTATCCGATACACGACAAGGTGATGCTCGCGACAGTATGGACAGATCATCGCAGCCTACAGTATACCCGCGCACAACCACTACTCAACCCACGACATATTCGGTGGTTGGATTCTATGGAATCCAAATTCCACTATACTGTCACCTACAGAAGGGACATCAGACATTGCATACCTCCCCTCTCGCCCATCCGCCCACCTCAACTCCTTAATCCTCTCCCAAACTTCCCCGCTCTTAACATGTCTATTTACCCACGAGTACCAGACGGACAGATTCTTCGGGTGCGTATGAACAGCTCGCAATAGCTAAGGGAGTCTATTACGTAGGGGTACAGTCTATTACGGGATTTACTACTCCAGGAAGCCCATGACCGCACAGTTTCGGGGCACTTCGGCGTGGAGAAAATACGGCAAGTTTACCAGATATAACTTATGGCCTGACATGCAAGGGGACGTATAGCGGCATGTGGTTTCATACAGAACCTGCCAAACCATGAAAACATTGAAGCAGAAGCTAGCTGGACAGTTGCAGTCGATTCCACCACCTGAGCGAGCGTGGCAGCAAGCGACGATGGACTTTGTTACGGGACTGCCTGCCAAGGACGGCTGTAATGATGCGATATTTGTTGTTGTCGACAAGCTGACGAAGATGGCCCACTTTGCCGCCTGCAAGAAAAGCATCTCTGCGAAATAGCAGCCTGGCTTTTCATCTCAACCGTCGTTTGCCTCCACGCAATTCCATCCGCCATCATTTTTTGTCGCGACACGAAATTATCCAGCAACCTCTGGCACAACTTGTGGGACCAATTTGGCTGGCACCTACAATTCTCCTCCGCCTATCACCCTGAGACTGACGGACAGACCGAACGAGCCAATCAGACCATGGAGCAGATGATTCGCACCACCTGCGATGACCTGGCCAACAGGGAGCAGCAACTGCCACTGAGTGAGTTGGCGTATAATAACGCCCCATCAGCCACTACCCAACAGTCACAATTCTACGAGAACTACGGACAAAACCCTACAATACCGATCATGGCCAACATAGAAAATCCTGTAATAGAAAATCCCGCAGTAACTTACCGGGCAAGACACTTAGTATGCTCGACACTCAGTACTTTCGACTGCCCATCGTCCCAAAACTTCGCCCTCGATACTGCAGACCGTTTACAATCAGCCACATGATATCCTCCGTTACAACCCATCTATTGCCACCAGCCACCTGGAACGTAAGTCCATTATTTCACGTGCGACTGTTACGACCGTACATCGCCAGCAACAGAAAATTACCATGTCATCGAGCCAACTCGAACATTCGATTGCTCGCCAAGCCTACAGTCGAACCTGCGAAGATTCTCAGCCATTGAATAAAGGACCCTCAAGGGTCCCGCCTGATCAAGTTTCTGATATCCTGGAAGGACCGGACGGCCTTGGAAAACAGTTGGCTGCCCCTGGCACAGATCGAGAATTACCCAGTGTTCCGAGTCTACCTCCAGTCACGCAATGTGCACGACATTGGCGGTCTTAGCTACGACCATACCTTGGAGGGGGGAGGGTGAAAGGAAATGGTGTTTCCTTATTACAGGTTTAAATAGTGAGGCGTACACTGCTATAACGGGGTTGCCGCGCAGCTCTGCCATGAAATTCAAATTGCGGTACCCAAATGTGGCCTCCTGATGAGCCGCATGCATTTTGCCCGCCTTGCTGTTTCATGCCTTGATCTGGGCGCGTCATGCCAATTACGAACCACACGTCGCAGCTCTGCGGAGCCACGACCGTGTGCTATAGAGGCTGGCTATATCCATACTCCCTGTTGTTTGATGTTGCTCTGTATTGTTCTCCTCGCTACTCAATTATTCGACACACGCTCGCGCGCTTCATTACAGAAGTGCAATGAGCCGCAAGCAACGAGTGTCGAATATTGATAGGAAAACAATACAATGCGGCAATATTAAAACAACCAAGAGCTAGAATACAGCTAGGTCTGGAGCACACTGTCGATGCTCTGTGGAGCTGAGACGTGTGCCTGGTGTTGTGATAAGCTCATACTTAAGCATTTCTGTAAGTATTTCCGATAGATATTATCAAGTTATACTGTAGCTAGCATCCGTAGAATGTGACAACAAACATATATTGCTCCATATACACAATTAGTTGTGGGTTAGATATGTTGTTACAGTATATAACCTAACTAGGTCAGCTCCTAGAGGAGATAACACTCAGGACTTTTATCTCCCCTCCTCTCTTCCAAGTCCCACTTTTTCTCGCGCTATTCTCACATGGTATAGAGCTAGGTTAGATTTCCTCCCTAGCGCCGCGCTTCCGCTCGTAGTGCATGATTTTTTTTTCCCCGGACCATGCGTTCTCCAATTTCGCGCTTCGTAGCCCCCCCACACCCCCCCCCCCCCCCCCCCCCCCCCCCCCCCCCCCCCCCGTAGAGTTCGCTCTGTATCGTAGGCCAATCAGCTAGCCAGCGCGCCAGCTAGCAAACTCGCTTGCCAGCCAGCTAGCATACCAACTAGCTCACTAGCTTGCCAGCGCCAACTGCGCCAGCCTGTCATCGTGCCCTTAGCCCGCCGTTTCACGCCTGCTGGCTGCTACCAGTCCCTGCTCGCCCCTTGCATGTCTCGCCAGCCAGCCAGCTAGGTTCCTCGCCAGCCAGCACGCCCCTGGCTCGCAAGCCAGCAGCCCCCAGCAGCCGCCAGCCAGCTCGCCGCTGGCTTGCCAGCCAGCAGCCGCCAGCAGCCGCCAGCCAGCTCGCCACTGGCTCGCCGCAACCGCTGCTGCCACTGCTGCCGCTCCTTCAACTGCCGCTGCTGCCACCGCTGCCGCTACTCCTCCCGCTGCCGCCGCTGCCGCTGCAGCCATTGCTGCCACTGCTCCTATCGCTGCCGCCGCTGCTGCTGCAGCCGCCGCTGGTGCCGCTCTTGCCACTGCCGCAGCAACTCCCACTGCCGCTGCTCCTATTGCTGCCACCGCTGCTACTGTAGCCGCCGCTGCAGCCACTCTTGCTGCTGCCACTGCTCCTCCCGCTGCTGCTGCTGCTGCTGCTGCAGCCACTGCTGCCGCTGCTCCTCACGCTGCTGCCACTGCCGCAGCAGCCGTCGCTGCAGCTGCTCTTGCTGCTGCCGCCACTCCTCACGCTGCCGCCGCTGCCGCTGCAGCCGCCACAATCCGGTGCTGCTGCCGCTGCCACTGCTAGTCAGCAGCCACGCCGCTGCTGCCGCTAGCCACCTCGCAGCGCTGCCGCCACCAGCCAGCTCGCCGCTGGCCCGTCGCTGTCGCCACCCTGCAGCCAGCTAGCAGCAGCCGCTGCCACCAGCTCCCACTGCAGCACCCGTCACTGCTGCCCCTGTAGCAGCTGCCGCCGCTGTCCCTGCTTCTGCCACCACCGTCTTCCCGGACGCAGCTGCCACCACAGCCGCCAGTATGTCAGCTCCCAGCATCTTCGTTTTGTGGTTAGATGAGGAGGGACGCGCTGTCGGCTTCTCCGCCTGGCAGGAGATGGTCCTCCTGCAACTGACCAGCCAGCGCGTCAACGACAAGTCTCTCTACGCCCACGTCTCTGGTGAGCTCCCTCAGCCTCCCCGCCCGGGCGCTCTCGCTGCTGATGCGACGTCCACGCAGCAGGCAGCCCACACTGCTGCCTGCACCACCTACTCGGTCTGGGCATTCCGTGACTCCACTGCTTCTGTCGCCATCCTCAGGTGCGTGCGGGATGACGAGCACTCGCAATTTGTGGGCGCTGCGTCAGCCCACGCCCTTTGGACAGCGATCCTTGCAAGGTACTCCACCCTGTCGTCTGCCAGTCTTGGTCGTCTCCTCCTCCCTTTCTTCCATCCCGACCTAACCTCCTTCACCACTGTAGCAGACTTATTCGAGCATCTGCGCTTCCTCCAAGCCCGCTGGCATGCGGCCTGTACTGAGGCCCAGCCGGATGTGGCCCCACCCCCCCTTTTCGCTACTCTCTACTTCCTTGTCATCGGCCTCCCTGACCGCCTTGCCGCTGCCCGCAATGCACTCCTCACTCCCCACCCCTCTGATCTCACCCTTGACCTTTTCTCTATCTCCCTGACTGAAATAGAGGACCGCCTTCTCGTCATCGCTCATTCCACTTGCACACCAGCAGTCCCTATCTTCCAGGGCAGCGCTCCCTCCCAGGCGATTGTCCCTCCTGCCTCCGCCTCTGTCGCCAAGACTGTAGCGACTGCCTCTGCCCCTGGCCTTCCTCGGGCAGCAAGGTCAAGGGCAAGGGGGTCAATGGCCGTGGGGGGTCGGCAGCAGCGGGTGGAGGGGGTGCAGGTTTGGGCAGAGAGGGTAGTCAGTCAAAGTCGGGGACTGCGTAACAGCAGCAGCAGCCACCGCAGCAGTATCGTCCGCAGCAGCACAGCTGCTGTGGGGCCTGGTGGGCCCTGGGAGTGGTGGTCGTGGTGGAGGTCGTGGAGGTTGGGCCCCAGGAAAGTTGGTGCCCTGGGGGTCACGTGGCTCCTCTGTAAGCTAGGGTCCTGGTGGTTCAGGAGGCGCAGTGATCTGCATGTACCAGCTGTTGACTAGCTCGTTGTCGGGACAGATCTGCGGTGCTCGGGGCACACACCCACTCGCTACTATCACCGCCTGGAAGAGCTTTACTGCCGTTAGTTCGGCCCGCTGGTGCAGGTACCTTCCTGGCCTGCCGCGCTTCGTCGTGGGATTCCTATCTTTGATCTTGATGTGATTCAGATAGAGCATGCGATGTATTCTATGTATGCTGATGACTCTAGTGTTGTTGGTTCTTATTATCCTGCCGTTTGTAGCCTAGGAGCCACTGCCGTGTGTAGTCTAGGATCCCCTGCTGCGTCAGGCGTAGACTCTCCTGCTACGTCAGCGTAGGACCTGTTAGAGATACTACTTCACTGGGCACTGCCACGTTGGTGCTCTCATTTATTCTAGACTCTGGCATGTCTCGTTGCTTCTTTAGAGACAGCACTGCTCTCACTCCGCTTCCTGCACCTGTCCGCGCCACACTAGCAGTCTCCTCCGCCACTGCTGTCGCACGCACCACCACCACTCTCCCTTGTCCAGTTGTCCCCTCTGGCTCCCTTGCTGGTTTGCACATCCCCTAGTTTGCCAGGAATATTGTGGGTGTCGGTCACCTCCAGGACCGGGGAGTCACCACCACAATCCCTGGCCGCAAGGGACATGCAGCCTGCACAGACACAGCCACCGGTCGCCACCTAGCCACATTTAAGCGTGACCCACAGAAGGTCGAGCCCAGTGGTCCATATGCAGAGCTGGTGGGGTGTCTCATGTACCTGAGGTTGTGCACTTTTCCAGTTCTTGTGTACCCTCTCAGTATCCTTGCTCGCTTTGTTGCGCCTGGCAGACACCAAACAAAGCTCTGGTCACTTGCTAAGAGGGTGTTGCGGTATCTGATGTGTACATCAGGACGGGAGCCAGTGGTCCTCACTGGACACACACACGCATCATGTGCCGACGACTTGGAGACACTTTGGTCCTCACAGGGCTACTACTTTAGTCTTGGTGCGGGTGTAGTCTCGTGTCGGTCCACTAGGTCGTTGTCTGTAGCGCAGTCCAGTTGTGAGGTAGAGATCTATGCTGGAACTATGGCCGCTCAGGAGCTCCGCTGGCTGACGTTCTTGCTCACCGACTTAGGTGAGCGGCCTAGGTCTGCCCCAGTCTTGTTTGCTGATAACAGGGCCATGATCCTCCTGTGTCAAGTTGCTCGACTTGATTGCAGTGCCATGCAAATCTAGCTGCGGTACTTTCTGCTGCGTGAGTTGCAGCAGCACGGTAAGGCTCGTGTAGTACAGTTGGCCTCAGAGGCCAACACTGCTGATATCTTCACCAAGGCCCTAGGGTCTCGTGACCATCAGCGGTTCTGTACTCAGCTTAGTGTAGTTCCATTTGCCTCTCCCTTTCTTGTATCCTGATCTCTGCGATACCGGTTTTGTACTTGCTACTCTATACCGCCTGCCTTGTTACACTTGTTGACCAGGCCCCACAGTATGTGGAATTTTACACTGATTACGTGTTTTTTTTTTTTTTTTTTTTTTTTT